TTACTGGGTTCAAACATCGTACGGACATTCCATGTCCCCACGTTTACTTTCGCTTTCATCGAGAGAAGACACATCGGCCAATTGGCTTCCCGAAGGCTTTCACCAACTGGCGTCATTTCGCCTCTCCGATTCCAGCGGGGAATAAGTTTGTTTTCATTTTTTATATTTTGTTTGTGCTTTGAAGTTTCTTTAGCGGTTAGATTTGTTTTACGGGGTAGGGTTGCTAGCCCTATGCCCAACCTTCCCTCTTTACCCGGGCTTAGGACCGGCTAGTAACTAGTAAACTAGTTAACCAGGCGAGGTTATCAGCAATTATATACATTTCCATTATTTGTCCTTTGACTTCCTTGTGGAACATAGGGCTCCAGAAGCATGTCACCATTGCACTCATGTCTCTGCAGTCTTCTGAACGTGGCTCCACCACTGCCAAAAGCTTTCGATCCCTTCCCACACGATCTCCTCCATGTCACCCTTGCCTCGGACGCCCAACTCATCGTTTCTCATTTGGATTCCACTCGACAGCCTGGGGCATGATGTCCCCAAACTGTCTTCTCAGTGCATGTTCAGTCCAATCCATCTCCACTTTCTTCTGGATATTTGTTGGGCGATAGGTTATTGGTTGGTTCGTTGCCAGCCTGAGTGAGTTCCTTGTCGCTTATTCTTTCTGGCAATCCACCTGATCTGATATTGAGTATCGAGCGAGCATAGGCCTCTATCACCAACTTCTTTGAATTGAGGGTTTTCCACTTGATTTTGAAAGTAGGTTCCTTGCACTAGATAGTGAGTGGTCTCCACCTACATCTGCTCGCCTTCTTGATCTTGTGTCCAGTGGGCTGTTTCCACTTTCGTGAGATTGAGATGAAGTTGATCTGATTTTTAGTGTGTTCTGGTTTCTGGTGAAATCAAATCCATGTCGCTCGCTTTGTGAATATCCTTGTGTTTGTACACACTGCCTCCAATCACTAAATTCTGCAAACAGTTCTTCATTGTCATTCATCATTTCACCGAACGCTTATCGACCCATGATGAGTTCTCTTCCTGTGTTATCTGCTCCCAGTTTGGCATCCATGTCACCCATTAGAATGGATTTTGATGTCGCCAACTGGAGTGAGGTCTTGTCCAGTACTGATTGCAGTTGTCTGTAGAATTCCTCCTTCTCTCCATCTGGATTATTTGTAAGTGCGTAGTGTAGCATTGTATGATTGTGACTTTCTTTCCTTTTCAGTTGAATCTTGCTGTCGTGATCTCGATCCTGCAGGAGGAGATTGGTTCCCACTGCATGAGAGAGAGTCTTCGATGCTGTTGAGGACGTCATGATAGCCGCTCGAAAACTCAGTGTGTTGTGCTCGTGGCTGTATTCTGGGTGGCAATATCGGAGTAGATTATTGACTCCTCTCCAGTTGACAGCTTGGAGAGTCCACCTCCATTCCATCTGGTTTCTCAGATTCCTATCCTAGCACTTCTATGCTATATCTTCTCATCTCTTTTCCAATCTGGGTAGCCTTGTTAGCTTTATTTATTTATTTTTTTTGTGCTTTGAGGTTTGGTTAGCGGTTGGATTGGTTTTCCAGGGTAGGGTTTCTAGCCCTATGCCCGAACTTCCCTCTTTATCCGGGCTTAAGACCGACTAATAAACTAGGCGATCGATCTTAAATGTCGTTACTAACCTTCGTTCAGATTTCTTTCTCCTTTCTTACACTTTAGTTCCCCCAAATGTCACTTTTTTCATCTACTTTCTCATTACATGGTACTGTGAAGTTTCGCTGATTGGATCGATGCCAATCTGTGCAAGGTTTGTCTTTGTATGTGACTGTCGCACTTCGTTGGCTTCGGGAAAGGCGTTTAGTACTTATTTTATAAGGAGAAGTTGGTGTTTAGTTTGGGTCTCGGATGCATGGACTGTATTAGTTTTCCTCCAGGTAGTTTAATACCATCACATATGTTGAAAGTGGAGTTGTGACTGACTAGTTTAAGGCAGTTGACTTTCAGATAGTGGGTCGCGGGTTCGAACACCGCCCGACCCATCTGTTTTGCAATCAGGTAGTTTTATTTGACGTCTCATAGATGTGGCTCATTGCCTACTAAATTAATTTACACAAGCTTGTTTAGTAGATTTCGATTCGACATGTATTGGGGGTCAACAGTCCTTTTTTCTGGATGTTAGATCTGTTTCTTGTAATTGTCTTTTACATAGGTACGTATCTGACAAATATGTTAATGTATTCAGAATCGTATGCAGAAATACTTCAGGTAAGGTAAGGGCATACATTGGACTCTCTTCACTGTTCCACCGTGAGATTAAGTGGGACTGCATGATTTTGTCATCTGTTTTCAACGTTGTCACCAATGAAATTCTGAGACAAGTCTTAGAGATGGTGTAGATCTGAAAACAGGAAGACTGCTCGAGCTTTAGTATGCAGACGATATCAAGATTGATACCGATATTCTTTGAGCTATGTCATCTTAACTACTGCCTTTGGTAGCTTGAACATGTGTCACTAACAGTCCTAGCATCCCTCACACCGTTCACTGTTCGGCAGCATAATAGTAGAATTCAAGAAGTGCAGTAGAGTACAACTTCATTTTATTTCGTTTATTTAGATGTGTCACAATGAAACGACATTACATGCTAGATGATATCTTGAATACAGTTTACTTTGTGCAATCCTTTATCGGGTTAAAATGATACGAATTTTAGCAATACATTTTGTCTGATCTATCGTCCAGTAAATATTATTGTTTTACTGTGTGGTACATCTAATGGACGAAATAAAATGACAGTTTCGCTAGCCTTGAGACTGAATAGAAGAAGCAGAGATATCGTCAGTGTGTGACCCAGTGCCATCGGGCCAAAGATAGTTTTGCTTAGTTGGTATCTGTTATTGCAGCACGACTTCCTAAACGGAACCGAGAGATCACGCACTTCAATGGCTCAACGTGTTACCAGATAATGGCCAGTATTGAAACTAGTATCAGTCAATTTGTGACTTTTGTCTTATCAATGCTCGAGAAGTAAAACGAATGTAGTGAACGATTATTTGAATATATATGTTTTCTTGGTAATCCGTTTACTTTTTGAGTTTCTGTTTCCTTCCCTCTGTATCATTTAAATGTTGATAATATTTTTATACTGTTACATGTGATGCATTCCTCGGCATATATATGTTGCGCAGTTGCTGTGGTAAATATTCAGTTATTGCATCATAGGAATAAAGTGAAAGGGAGAAGTCAGTAGGAAAAAAAACAATATAGGCAACAATGAATTTAAGGAAATAATCACTGGTAGGATGTAGAAAATGAAAAAAATGATGGGTAATAGAATGTTCACGGGGAATTTTAAGACGAAGAGTGGACACATATGTCATGATGCTTTTAAACGTTGGTCTGAATAGTGTAGGTAGGAGTAACCTTTCCGTTTGGGGGATGTGAAAGTGTAACTTGGGTTAAATACCATTTAACGATACCTGACAACTGACTACCCTATGGTGTAACTCCGAATGTGACCCTTTAACCTAAGTACTGAATTTTCAAGCAACAAATTACGCGTTCAAACCGTACTTAATTTGCCTCATTCTTGGCAACAGGGTAGTATCACAACCCCTCATATAAAAATCTATGGGATAGATAAGCTGCAAACATAATATAATAGTAAGAGAAATCTTGTTTAAAAATGTCCTCAACTTTCATATTGCCGCTTTCGCTTTCAATTTTCTTTCACGATTCTTTCTTATTCTCAGTTTTTTCCCTCCGTTTTGTGAACTTTCTGGATATGTTGATGCTTAGCGTGAAAACGTTAATCGATTTTCGACTATAAAAGTCTTTATATTTACGTGAAAAATATTAAAAGACTTTTTACTGCTCAAAATAATTGTTGTAACTCATGTATTGAAAATGGCACTAATATCTCTGTTATCACTACATTCATGTTACTACTCGTCTTTAATTATCAACCTGTGGATTATTTAGCTTAATTCGACTGTCAAAAACGTCGAAATGCATCCTCCAAACACCTGCACGTTTGCACAGTTGGTAATGTCGTTAAGGCTAAGAATACTACGTGGTTGCCCAGTCCTCGGTATGTGAATTAAGTTTAAACTCTTGAAACTGTTTTGAAGTCGAGTGCTCAGATCATTGAGCTACAGTTCCACCGATCCGGTTTTATTTGTGTAGAATCGTTGTTAACGCAACAAATAATTTTTATCTAAATGGGTGCGAAGGTTAGTGGTCGCAGTAATCGTAGTGACATCTAATCTGATTTAACAACCACCCCCCGTAAGTGAACTCTTTTTGTAAATGTGTATTTGTTTCTATTCTGAAGCATTTAAGTTTTCCAATGGATCCTGTACGAAAGTATTACGAAGCTTAGATAACGTATTTGGGGCTTCTACTGGTGGTTTGTTGTTCTGAAGTCCCGTTGATTCTGTCCTTACAAAGTATTGTTGGAGTAGGTAGTACTGGCATAGAAGTGGTATTGCTACTCTCATGTCATTATATGTGTATGATATGTTCTTGCCCTTCGCAGTAAAACCAATTAGTTGTAATTTATATGCAAGCGTTTTAAGGTAATATAGCTACTTGGTACATGTTTGTATGAAGAAGAGCTTAAATCGAAAACAATAAACCACTAGAGTTACTAAAGTTTTTGGTAGTATTTACCAGGGACTAATTTAAAATAATTTCATGTTTCGCGCTATTTTAATATTTCAATAATATTGATAGAGATATATGATTTTGTTTTACGTAGGCGCGTAGAAAAAACAAATATTTAACAGGCGGTAAAGTTTACATACAGTCTGGTGAATGAATTGGACGAGGACATCTTAAAACAGAAGTTTTTATGCGAGTGAGTAGGAAGTTGTATCTTATTTCAAATGAGACTGGGAGATATGCCGTAGGGATGGAGCAACAGCCGACACATCACTGATACAGTTAATACAAATTTGGAGGCGCGAATTAAGGACATATTAGATTGTGGTTAAGGTACATAGTATTTACCGGGGATAAGACAGATTATGAAACCAGGAGGTTACAGCTTAGAAATCAGACTGAAGTGCAGATAAATATGCGAAGAACAGCCAAATCCAATACATAGGTAGTGAATAAATAATGACATCTTATATTCTTACGGTTAAAAATAAGCTCATGTAATATGAAGTTCTTCATTTTAACGCAAAACATTTTCGAAGCTATCTAGAAGTGATCTCATACTACTAATATCGTCCTATTAATATAGTTATTTTTATTGTCCGTGTAAGCATTAAATAGTGTTAAGCATTTGTGTATATTTCAGCATATGAAATTCGCCATGCGTCCTCAAATGAATCACAATGCATCAACTAACATAGCTACTGAGAATTCTATCACTATTCTATATGGGAGTCAAACAGGCAATGCTCAGGCCTTAGCTGAACTGCTTACTCTTCAAGCGCATCAACTATTTGATCAAAAGTGTATTACAACCCATCTACAGGGCTCTCCTAAAATTCACTTGGTATCAATGAATGACTACGTACCTGTTTCGCGACTTGCGAAGGAAAATGGAGTGGTCATATTTGTTTGCTGCACTACAGGTTATGGTGTTCCTCCAGACAATATGTCACAGTTTTGGAAAAAATTGATGAGCCGAGCTTTGATTCCAGGACGTTCACTTCCATCGAATTTACGTTTTGCTGTCCTTGGTCTCGGTGATTCTTCATATCCTATGTTTAACTTTGTTGCTAAAAAGCTTTATCGTCGTTTAGTTCAACTTGGGGCGACGGCACTTTGTTTCCAAAATCAGAAAGAATCGCCATGTGAAGAAAATGAAGATTCAGGTCTTGGGTTAGCTGATGATCAGTCTGAGTTAGGTCCAAATGAGGTTTTGCGATCTTGGATCCCAGCTCTTTGGCAAAGCATCGTAAATTTGTTTGGAATCCCTATGTCCGAACAGTTGTCCAAACTTATCAGTTGGAACAATTTAAAGAGTCCTGACTTTGTTTTTGATTTGTGGCCAAAGTATGATGTAACATTTACCAGTTTAGTGCCAAACGTATCATCCACATGTGAGGACGTTTTGTTTGACCAGCTTTTTAAGCACGTTAAATACGATAATGAGTGTTCCTTTATGTCTAAACCAGCTCCAGCTAGTGCTGCATGGTTTCAGGTTGTAAGTTGTGAACGTGTTACCAGTGCAGACCACTTCCAGGACACACGACTATTACGATTGTCATACAAAGTGAGTATAACTAATTTCTTTTTTCTAAATTAATGCATTACTTTAAGGTCTATGGTACTTCATATTTATATATTCGAGTATTTTCATGAATGACAGATACTGTAGTAGCTACACTAGTGTGGTCTAGAACAAGCGACAAATCAGACAAAAATCATGATTAAATGACGTTAAAAACTTTTGGTAGAATGCATCAGTTGAGGGTGCATCGATCATATTTTCATCCTTTGACAGGTCCTGGAACACGAGTATGCTTACCGGTGGCTATATTTCTTGACTTGAAGGCAGCATTTGACTCTATCGACTGTGAGGTTTTGTTGGAGTGTTTGACAGTGTAGGCAGTACCGAGCAAGTATATAATGCTGATTAAAGCTGTCTACTGAAACTCGCTCAGTGGTGTAAAGGCTTATGGAGAGTTGTCATTTGAATTGATGACCACCAGTGGTGTCTGCCAGCGGTGTCTACTGTCACTGTTCTTATTTGACTTCGGTATTGACGTACTAATAAGCACGACCCTGATTACATCTGATTTCACAGGAAATTGACACACTACCTGGAGGTTATCTGGTTGACTTGGAGTAGGCAGACGATATTGTTCTGCTGGGTGAAGATGCTGACAAGATGCAGAGACTTCGAGCAGAAGTCTGAGTATGTTTGGCATGCGTCTGGCGCCTGTCGAATGTAAGCTGATGCCCCAAAACTGGACTGCAACCATTCCAAGTCTATGGATAATGAGTGAGGTGGTAGAATAGGTCGACCACTTCACTTACTTGAGAAGTTGCATCAGCTCGAACGGATTGGTTGCTGTCGGAATATCAGCTGGGATACAGAAGCCTAGTTAGTCATGTGACAACTTGCGTCGTCTGTGGCACCAACTGGTAAGATATCCAATTGTCTGTCAGAGGATGAGTATACAACGTGGCAGTTCGTTCTGTCTTGGTTGTATTGTTTTATCTGAGCTGGGTTGTTTACTCGTGGAGCTTTCATCGTCTTTCTAGACGACATCATCAGCACTAACTTCAGTATGAAGTAAGCTGTCAATATCTCCCTATGAGTGATTTATTAGCTTGCCCGGATGAACTGTCTTGTGATTAGTTATTCCCTTTGATTCTTGTGTCATTGACTGTATAGGTTTTCCTCTTAGATGTTCCTCTGCTTGACCTCTGACCTTTCAGTCGTCTATCTCCTTTCCCATTGGTTGGTAGGTCGGGTCCATGTCTACACACCTACTGATTGCTGACTGACTGACCTGAATGCCAAGCTTCTAGGAATTTCTGATATCCTTTGTGTTTCTTCTGTTCAAAACTTCTACATTGTCAGAATTGAATTCATATCCATAACTATTTACGTTCATTGAAATGAGTGATGAAATGTCGTGACGTTTAATATCCAATTGGTGTTCATGTAGACGAAGGAGAAGAGTGCGACCACTTTGTCCAATGTAGTGTTGACTGCAGTTGTTGCAGTTAACTTTGTAAATGATATTCGGTTTGTCTTCTTTGGTTGTTGGATCCTTTGGTCTGCAAAATAGTGTTTGAAGGGAATTTGTTGGTTTATGAGCCACACCAATTCCAAGTGGTCTCAGTAATCTTGTCGTGATTTCTGATATATTCTTTATGTACGGTAGGATGATGCATTTGTTGATTTCTGTTGATGACTTTGTAGTTGATTTTGTACGGAATAGGCATCTTCTGACAAAGTTTCGTGGATAGTCATTCTTCTTTAGGATGGACGCCAAGTAATTTTCTTCGTTTCTCCGTGAATTTGTTGTAGTGCAGTGTGTTCTCGCTCTTTTGAATAGAGTCTGGACGCAACTAATTTTGGGCGTTGTTGGATTGTTGCTTCTGTAGTTGAGGATTTGACCAGTATGTCTTAGATATGTACCGCGCATGTCAAGTTACCGCCTACCTTGGCGTGCCATGGTAGGGTAGGGAAAGTGGGATAAAGTTGGAAGAAGGCTAAGGATTGTCAGACCAAGAGCTGATACCAGTCGACGAAGTCTCTGGCTCTTGGTCTGAGTCGTATAGGGAAATGTTGAATACCTGGCTGGGGTCTCCGAGACGAAAGAAATCAGTGTTTGAGGACTAGTATTGATATGGCTGGAAACCGGTCACAATGGTGGCAAAAATGTATGTATTCACTCTATGACGTCTTGGATAATTGCATTAACTGTTATCTTCGAATTGTTTATTGTCTCGCATAACTTTGTCTACTGTGATATCACTCTTTTTCTATTCATCTATTCTTTGTGTGCTGCTGTGAAATGTGGCAACTTAAGCCGATCCCCTTATATACGAGGTTCTACGTTGATTTAGTCAGGTTTAAGAACTGCGTTGAAAACATAAAATTTTAGAAGGGTGTTTTTAAATTGTAGTGCTGAGTGAATAATTACTTCTATTCTAGTCAGTCTTGTAGTAGGATTTTATCTGGAGGTAGACTTGTAGTTCTCAAATGTCTCAGGGATTAGTTTTTCGTTATTTCAAAGCTGCTGTGGTTAGGATATCACTGCCAATTGTCATGTACTGGGTGAAGCCGATTACCAGACAATCATATGTGAGAGTATACTTATCGAATTACTACCTCTTACTAGTGACGTTGCCTAGATTCTAATTGAATGTGTATCAGAACAAACATTGGTTAACTGACATTTTTATGTTTGGATATAGCCTGACCAACAGTGGACCGGATGATTTGAAAAAAAACTTGGGCACCGAGTTAGTATGATTCATCATATAATGTGTATTTTTACCTGTGTACTCCCTGCGTAGTGTATTACGACAAATAAAATACAGAATATTTTATTTTGTTATTTGTTCTAATATACTGCGCCGGATTACACAAGTAAAAATACACCTCATTTGATGATATTTTTATGGTGAAATAAATGTTACTCATGCATAAAGTATGCAGTCAAATATGATATCAGTAATTTTATACAAAAAACAAGTGGTCAGTCAATGGATGAATGGGGTCAAGTTTGATAGTTTGGATACCTTAGCTGGGTATGCATAATTAGATGGTACAAGCCTCTGCAAATTCCTCCTTGCATCAGTGTAACTACATAAAGTCAGTTATCTGAACATCGTTTTCCTTATTCAGGGGCATCTTAATTAGAGGTGGAGCTGTCGCTCACTGGTCTAAGGACTTGATTTCTAACGGATAAGTCATGTGTCGGCCCCAGCTTCACCTACCGAGATTTTGGCAGCCAGGTAGTATCGCTGACTCTTACACAATATTTGCAGCCCATCGCCTACTACACAAAAGTACACAAGATTACTGAATACTTTCCGACTTTTTTTGATCTTAATCAGGATATTGGGTCACTGGAGGTAGATTAACTCAGTATGATTTCGACGCTTTCGGCAAACGCCTGAGAGTATGTAGTATATGTTTCTTTGGAAATGATAATTTCAGACTCTTCTAAATCTATACTCCGTCTCTTTTGGAGGGACCGAATTGGTTGGCATGCTATCTTCTTGACTTATTTTGAAATTGGCGTCATTCTTGATCAGCTTTCCGTTAGTGGAACCGCAATGCTGATGCAAAAAAATCTGAGTAATTTTCCTCAACTTACATAGGTGTAGCAGGATCTATCTGTAGCCTGTTTTGCAGTCAAGCGGAGTTGTGGCTCATTCGTCAATGTTTTGAATTTTCAACCAGTGGGTCATGAGTTTGAACTGCACTCTGCTTACCGAAGTCTGAACAGCCAAGTAGTAGCATTAACACTCGCACGATAGGTGTGGCTATTTGTCTACAGAATAAACGTGGACGTGGTTGGTAAGTTAAATTCTTACTTACGATGTAGCAGGTTTGAAACTGGCAGTTGAATGAATGACATCAGAAAGCAACGAGTATATGATCTCTTACAGTTTGAAGTATCGAATGAATTGTACTGATTCGTTTTCTATAACCATAAATATACTTACTAGCGTATTTCGACATGCTTGAAATGCAAATGTATTTATGCGCTGTCATGTGATGATGGTTTATCCTACATGCTTTATTGGAAAATTGTCCAAGTTGCCGCACATCATAATAGCATATCAACGATCAACTATTGGGTTATAGATTTGAATACCTGTCTACTTACCAAGATTTAAGTAACCAAACAGTTTTATTGACTTTAACCAAATAGATGTGTCACACCATAGTACGCCAGCCTGTTCATCCTTCCTAGTGTGAATGACCAATGTTGAAGTTGAGTTTAAAGTGTAGGTGAGTTGGATATATAAGCTGATCGTTATGAAGTAATTGTTCATTGTATGGGGTAACGACAGAATGATAGTTAGAAAGCCAACTATGGAAATGATATAGCATGGTATGGTCAGGTCACTAGAATTGATGAGAATGGAATTGTCGACTAAATGGTTGGACTCAGTTTGTAACTATTTCCAAAACTCAAAGTAGTATAGAAAGAGGTCATAGAAATAAAAATATATAAAATTGATTGACTGTAAGAGCTGTGATCACGAGACAAACAATTACTTATCCATATGTATAAAGATGTCTTACTATCTACAGCATCATTGATAACTCCTGAACAAAAATATTATCCTTATATGTAAAGCTGTTTGTGAAAAACAGTTGACAATATGCAGTTTTTCTGCCTTTGGTTTCAGTGAAAAAGTGTTAATTACTCGGAAATTTAAAGTTCTAGAGCCTAAGTTCAATTTTTTCAAATTGGAAAGCGTCCATCACGTAACTCAAAAAACCTTAATACATAGTGATCTGCAGTCAAAAAATTTGAGGGCTATTTTTCTTGCAGATTAATTGGAAGGATTCTCTATTTTTTATGTTGTCTAACTGAACGATGTTGGGTTATGAAAACTAGTTTCACCCGATCGATAGCTAGTACATTGATGTTGTGGTCGAGCTAGCATATCACAGTAGCCTAGCAAGCTCTGTTAGTGGGACACTTATTCCTTCGAGGTCCTACCATACTAGAAAGACCAGTTAGGCGGTAGAAAGGCAGAGAGCAGTTACTGTTATAGGGTAGATTGCCA